TCATGTATTCAAAATGCATGTTTTGGAGTTACCTTAATCGGAGTGGAAAAAGTGCTTCGAAAGTTGGTTCAAACACATGCAAAAGTGTATTGATCTTCTTGGAAAATAGTTTGGGAAAAAAAAAAAATAAACATTTGTTTTTTTTTTATTATTAAGCCAGAAATATATAAATAGCAACCCTTGTAATAGTATTGAACAAATTGATTATAATGCGTGATGATCATTTCTGAAGATTGGTATTGTAGAGGTATCTGATTTTTTTTATTGTGAGAAGATGAAAAATATTTCTTTAACTTAAGGAAATAACAGCTCAGTTTGCAGCATCCATCTCTGATGGCACTGTAGAGAAGAGTGGTGTTTATTTTTGGCTGGCAGGAAGATGCCATACTAGCAGCCAATCACAGAGCGAGCTCTTTTTGCAGAGTTTTGAATGGATGAGTCATAGGCAAGCAGAGTTTGAAGTGCACAGTTATCAAGTTGTTCAATGTTAGGAAATAAATTTTAAGTATACATAAAAACAGGTCTTATAACAGAAATAAAGAGAACTTTGTTTTTAATTGACAGATTGCTCTTTTGAGCAAATAATGGATATAACTGGGATCTGACTATCTTCACTTTTTAAGCACATTCTCAATATAAAGATGCCAGACTATTTTGAGTCCAAGGTATGACCCAGGTATTTATAACAATTACACTAGGTTAGGTTATTGTAGAAAAACTTTAAATTAATGATAGAGTATAGAAGATGGAATTGTGAAAAGATCATAGCAGTGCATTTATTGGCATTAATTTTAATTTTCCAGGTACTCAACCAAAGTATATAACCTAGACAGATAACTCTGAATTTTAGGAACAAGAAAATCCAGGCATGACAGTTGAGAAGGATGTCCACATCATCTGTATAAAGTGCTAGAGCGGCACTCAGTGATTTTGGCATGTCATTATTGAAGATATTGAAACAATATGGACTAATTAATGAACCTGAGGCAAACCTGAAAATATCTTATCTGGAAAAGAAATCATGGAATTTAACTCATACACATAGCTTGTATGTCATTATGATAAATATTGCAGTTTGCAAGCTTGGGAACTCTCCCTGGTTGGAGATTGATCTCTTGAACAAGAATAATGTCAAACCTCTTCTCAGACACATAATCTCTAAATTCGTAAAGCTTAGGTATAATACTGTTATCATTCCAGAAAAAAAAAAAAAAGCCTTTGAAAGTTTTGTTGGGGGTCGATCAGAAAACTGGAGATTTACATAACTCTAAAAAACATAGTGCACCATATGAAACCACTCTGTCAGCACCATATGAAACCACTCTGAGCTGAAGCAGTGCTGCTTTGAAAGCTAATATAGAGTAAATTTTTTTTTATTACCGTATATACCCGCGTATAAGTCGACCCCCCACTTCCGACATAGAAAAGTCGTAGAAAATAAGAAACCCGCATATAAGTCGACCCCCCACTTAGGAAATCGATCGAGAAACTTCGAAAATTTTTTTTTAAGTACTACATTTATTCAGAATCATCTGAGAAAAAAAGTAAATATACGATAAAAAATACCTTGGTAAATAAACAAAATCAAAATCCTTCAACATCCGATTCATGGTCAGATTCGTCAAACATTTCATAGAACTCATCATCTGTCGTCATTGGCTCGTCATCATACATATTTTCAGTCTCGAACTCTATATTGTTACAATCACTACTAGAGCCTTCGTCGTCATTTTCACTTTAAAAAAAATCATCATTTTCCGTGCCATCTAGTTCGTTGCTAATACAACATTTTTTAAATGATTTTATAATCATTTCAGAGGGTATTTCGTTCCAAGCATCTTTAACCCACTGAGCAGTTAATGTAATATTGGGCTTTTTAATGTTGCCTTCTAGAATTTGAAGTTGATCGTATATAGTAACCTTCTAGAATTTGTTCCGGAAAAGATTCGCGTACGTAAAATCTATCTGCATTTCCCCTTTTTAAAAGTTAAAAGAAATATTCAAAACTGTTCATTTATTGCGTGGGCTATTTTTTTAGATTTTGACGTGTATGCCTGTTAATAAAAGTATTTCATGAATGAACAATAACTATTATAAAGACTTATACGTACATAAAAACTATCTGCATTTCTCTTTTCTTGGCGTGTTGGTGAAACTTTTTTATTGCTCGATATTGATCGGTTGTTTGGGGCCGAAAATTCTTTGGTTTAATCGAAACTTACTCTAGTTAAAGTATGAAACTCTGTGATTAGTTCATCACATAATTTAAGTCATGAAATTACTTCAAGTAAGTGACTTATTTAATAAGTCGTCCAATTTGAGTGCGGGAAGAAAACAACTGCATTATGTAAAGAAATTTTTGAACTTCCGATTCTTTTAATTTTTTATGGCCCTGCGTATAAGTCGACCCCCCACTTTGAAGTCTTTTTTTTTGTCCAAAATATCTTGACTTATACGCGGGCATATACGGTATATATAATAACATATATATAATACAAGGCTGATTTGAATTCTGAATAATAGCTGAGAGAATATCAGTGCAATTTAGGATCAAATTAGTTCCTGTGGAGACGGATAAATTTGGAACAAGAGAAGGAGCAACCTGTTTTTGTCAAGATAAAATACTGGAGTATAAAACTCCAGGATGGGCACTTCTAGAGTTTGATACTGCAGCTACTGGTTTAGAATTTAAATTTTCTGGAAGGATCCACAGTTAGACTGGATTTGGTAAGGTCGGTTTATTTTTGTTCTTTACTTGTTCTTTCTTTACTTTTCTTCAATCCAGGGAAATCAGGCTAATTAAGAGCAGGACCTCCAACTGGCACGATGAGAGCCACCATACTTAGCACATTTCATAGGATCTTCATATGACTTGGGACATTCTCTAAACAAGTTTCTTAAACTGTGGGTGGTGACCCCAATTAGGGAGTCACCAGAAATTTTAACAATTTTGATATTTCCTTAACTTATTTTACAATTATCAAATATTTTTACATAATGTATCTAAAAATAGATAAAGATATGACAATACAGGCAAAAGGAAAACGTTTCGATGCATTCATTTATAATAGAAACGTTCATTTTACTTCAAAAATTAAAGATAATGATATGAAATTGCAATAGTATATTACAGCAGAAGTGAAGAAACTGATAATTTCACTCATGTGCATGTCGGATTTGCGAAATGCTTCTGGGGTCCCACAAAATTTTCGTAAATACTATGGGGTTCCCACAACAAAAAGTTTAAGAACCTGATAAGTGCCCTAACCTGATAAGGCTCTGCACAATAACCACACTTCTGTGGCACGCTACAAACCTCTGAGCAGTGAAAGAAACCCTGACAATGCCAGCACTGAAATGGTTTTCTTCTTCCACGAAGTCATTCAATTTTCATAAGTGTACCCATGAGATTACTTTCATTATAGATGGAATCTGTTTTCAGGCTACTGTAGATCTGCACACAGAAAAGTGGAAGTTTCATTTTATTTTTAAACTTCTCTATATGTAAGATTTTGTGAATTTAATATCTCAGTACTTCTATAAGACACTGACAAGAGTTACAGAGGGTAAGCCTCAAACAGTAAGCTTAGAGGGACATTCAGACTTAAATTTATATGACCTATATTCAACCATTTTATGAATGAGGAAGAATTCTAAAGCATGATAATCTGCATCATTAATAGTGAAAAGTTTTAAGAAATCTCTCTTTTGGTAGGAATCATAGTAGCCTTCTTAAACTGAGGTGACAGGGGAAAAAAAAGTCAAGCCTTATGCTTAATATAGACTGGTGACAGGAGAATAGGTTTCTGTGCAGAGTTTTCAATCGACTGATGTGGAGGATGTATTGCCAAATATGGCACACCATTAAGCAGCTGAAACTTGTTGGCTAAACTATTAGTTGCTGTTCAGGATTTTTCAACAGATTTAGTTGAAATCATTTTAATAAGGTGTCTATATGGCTCAACAAAGCCTTCTGAATCTTGAAATCGGATACATTTGTTCTAATATCTGATCTGCTAGGGGTTGTACTATTTGACAGTTGAATATGACTTGGGTCAGATTTTGTTTTAAACATTGGAAGGACTGCTTACATTTGAAGCTGGAGTGAGTTTGGGACGAGAAACACTTTTAACTGCTTTCATTTACTCAAGTCTTTGAAGACATTTCTGTTGGTGATCACATGAAGGTGATTTGGTCACTAATGGAGATGCATCAACAATGACAATTACGACAGTTTATTATAAAGGTAAGAATGAGAGTTCTGCAAATTGAAAGATAATTTATTTACTGCGAAACTGCAGCACTATAAATGCTTCATCACTTCACAAAAACATAGAAAATATCCAGTACCTTACAATGCAGAAAGTGATCCTTGTACTGGATAAACACAAGAGAGATTATATAAACTTCAATTTATAAGATACTCAGTGAAGAGTGACAGTTTCATATGTGAAGGTTACTTACACAAAAATGGTTCAAAGCTAACAATATTTTTTTTTTGATTGCATACATTATTTTTAATGCAAATAATAAGTTTAAAATAAGCATTTTTTAATTTATTATTTTTTTCTGTATTTATCCCCAATAAAAGGTCACAAATGTGCAGATGAGTTTATAGTCAGGTGATGGAAGATAAACAGAACATAAAGCAAGTGAAGTCTCCCCTTTCTGGTTTAGTTTATCGATATAAATTTATATTCTGTAAATAAACTGCTTATGCATTATCTTTATTTTATATCTAACCCTTATAAATAAATATACATTTTGTTTACAGCTTCTAACTTGGTCATCTTTTTTTTTTTTTTAAATCCCAGCCAACAATTGCTCTCTCCCCCAAAGAAAAAAAGATATCCTGTTGAAATTTACACCTTAGAATCTTCACTTTTTTGTCTTCTTTTACTGAAATACAGCCAACCTATACTCTGTATTAATTTCAATATTAAAATTTTACCCTACTTTTAAAACAATTGCTCTACAGATAGAGATGATTATAAACTCACTTTGTGACGAAAAGCTTTTCCACACTCTGAACATTCATTAGTCTTTTCCTTTGGAGGTGGAGCCACATAATTTGGATCATGATAGAGATTCTTATGCCTCCGTAAAAGCTGCTTTTGTCGAAATGCTTGATCACACACATCACAACGAAATGGTTTCTGGTCTGTATGAATTAGCATATGAGATTCAAGGTGACGTTGGGAAATTGAAGCATATGGACACAAATCACACTTGAAACATTTTTCGCCTTCGTGAGTTTTTGAATGCAACTGTAATAGAGACAGATTTATCAAAACTGCAGAACAGCAATGTTTTCAACTCAAGATATTTGGATAATTAATAAAAAATATTACCCCTCCCATTTATACACAATACCGAGTAGCATATGTAACAACAATATAAAGCAGAAAAAAAGCAATTTTTTTTTTTTTTATAAAAGAAAACATTTGAAGAAAAATAAATTAATTCTGGGCATTTTCTTATGTATACACAAGATGTTAAGCAGACATCATATTAGCTCTTTACACAGAAGTTGATAGTAAATATTAATAGGCTGTTAAAAAAAGACTTATAATGAATCACCATAGCAGATTTTTAAAATTTATTATCAAGAAAAATACAAATTGTTAAACTTATTACTTCAGACTCTCAAATTATGGATTTATCTACTTTAATCAATATACATGCCTACAGATATTTAACCCTCTGACTGCTCAATTTGTGGACCGAAACTGTTTCATTGAAGAATTGAAAGATGCACTTTTTCTTTCTAAAAATATTTTTTATATAGATTTTTATTATGAGGAACTAAGTTGCCAGAAAAATTTCAGATGTTATCACAAAAAAATCTTTTTTTTTCATTTTTTTTAAATAAATTTCAGTCGAATTACAGTTAATTTCTATTTGTTGCATAATATAAAAAAGTAAAATGTATAAAATTTAAGAAAATATAAAGTGCTGAGGGAAAAATACCTTAGAAATGCAGTTTAGTATCATAGAGTTCAAAACAGGATTCAAGGCAAAGTCCAACTTCACAGTCTTTGCACCAGATTCAATAAATCTAATTAACAATCTAATCAATAAATCTAATTAATAATTCAATAATTTAATTAAATAATAAAGATAATCGCTGAACGTTTTTTAGCAGCCATTTCTGTTAGAAAAAAGCAGCAAAAAATGAAGTTTGAGTGCTAATACCACGTGCCTTTAAATGCCGCAATTTAGTGGACTACTTAACGATATCTGTTGGCCAAAACATAAACTAAACGCTTAATACTGTATATAATTTATTTTAATGGTTAAACGGGGGAAAAATGGGATGCACTCCTCAATAAAGGAAGAAAAACATATGCTTACGGAAATCACGGGATGAGCAAATTTTGCTACATTTGAGTTGCCCGTGGAAATCTCGGGATAATCAGCCAGAGGGTTAATATGGAATAAAGATTTCTTTGAGACAAAAAATAATATTCTTTCAGAAGCAATATTATATAACTTACAAGTAGAATTTCCAATGCATTTAACCATATATTAGAAGAGTAGTCCTCTAACCCTTAACTTATACTATATATAACATAAATAAAATGCATCAACTTTTTACAAAATTTACATTTTACATATTGCAAAAATGGTGATAAATGTATGCACAAATAAGTAAAAAAATAATTAAATTACACTTAGAAAATTTCAGACTCAGAGTTTACCATTAAAATTTATTAAAATATTTAAAGATGTATAAATCAATTTAATGCATAAAACAATTTTGAGATAAACAGGTAATCATAAATGAATTATTATAAAAACAGGGCCTAATGGTATGAAAAAACTTGCTATGGTATCATTGCATTTTAAATTATCATTACATGAAGAAAAGAATTACACCTTGCACAAAAAAAGGGGGGAACAGTTCTATATTTTCTGTTTTACTGGACTGATTGTCGAAACTTAACTTGCGTTTTAAATTACTTCAAAGTGCAACTTAGGATATATATTAGATTTATATATAGCATTATTCTAACGCAGGTATTTTAACCCAAAAAAATTGGACTTTTCTGAAATAGCATACCAATTTTTTCCATATTTCAATTCTATGACTTAAATTATGCCTAGATATTAAATTTTGCAAATTTTGGTAAAAAATTTATGGAAAAATTTATCGTCACGCACTTTTTTTTTTTTTTTTTTCAGTTTGCACTAAGAATAATTCACTTGGCGAAATTCTTAATTTATAGTAACCAACTTACTTTCCTTTTTATTCAATTTGTGCACGAGCGGATAAAAGGTCCATCGTTCATTTTTTTCCAATAATTTTAACAATGTGTGTAAACCATATTTTTGTTATTATCGCTAATAAGCCAAATTTCAAAACATGCCAAAACGTAAATTCAAATATAGCTTAAAAAATGTTGGGGGGGGGAAACTCTTAATTTATTAAAGGTATGCTTAGAAACCCATCTAATTTAAGATGATGGCAAAATTTTTTCCAAAAAATTTATAACAATTATTTAAAAATACAAATTTTAAAAATAAATCTAAAAAAATGGGAATATTTTGTTTGGAATGAGCCTCAATTTTGAAATGTTAGATGGAAGAATCAAATAAGTGTTAAAAAAAAAAAGAAAAGATGTTAATAAATATATTCCAAATTCAATCAACACGGAGGAGCTAAAATTTTCACAGGTAATTTTTTTAAAAACTACTAGTGCTATTTTTTACAAAACTTGGCCCTTTGGCATAATTTGAGCTGTAGAATTGAAATATGGAAAAAAAATTGTATCTTATTTCAGAAAAAGTCCGATTTTGGGTCGGAATACCTATGTTAGAATAATGCTATATATAAATCTAATGTATATCCTAAAGGCCAGTTTACACTTCTCTGAGTGACTTTTGGCGAGCCCTTCATCCGAGCGTCTCAAACTAAGTGAACGGACCTGTAATCTGATAGATTGTTTACACCAATCAAAGCCAGACTGAATCATCGCCTCTATTTGTTTCCAAAATGGATACCAACGTGCAAGTTTCTGTGCTTGAAGTTTGCGAAGCAGTTTCCAACAGATTAATTTCTGCTCTTGGGGGGGGGCGAAAGAAGAAAAGGAAATCAAAATATGACTGGGTAGCTCACCATGATGAATCGGGAGCATTAAATCAACTATTAAATGAAGTTCGGGGCGAGGATATCCAAAGTCGCAAAAACTTCACCAGGATGCGTGAAGGATAATTTGAAACTTTATTTTATGATTTAAATTAATTGGAAATGGTCACTTCACTTATTCAGGGGGGGGGAGTGTTCTTTTGAGATGCTCTGCCAGCAAAATTAAAGCCCAGATAGTGCTTCGGTTTCTGGGGACAGGTGACTCTTACAGTTCTCTGCAATATTTATTTAGAGTGTCAAAATGCGCAATCAGCATATTTATTTCAGAAGTGTTTAAGGTCATTTTCTGTGTATGAGGTTGAGCGAAAATTATTAATCTTTTGCTTGAACTCTCCAACACCCTCAAGTTTTAATATGTTAATAATAGCCTCATATCCCTTCTGTCGACAATTTTGGTTTTAATACTTCCGACTGATCGTTTATAAATAAAATCTAACTTGTTGTTCAAATAAAAAGGAAAGTCTACAAACAAAATTTTGGATTATGTTTTATTAGGTGTTATTGGCCATGAGTAACTGGTTTTTCGAAATTTATATCAATGAAATAAAAAGTTTGCCATTTCATTTATTTTTTTAATTGGAACTATATTTTATTGCATAGTTGAATAACATATGATTTAATTGTTTTTTTTTTGATTAAACAAAATTCAGAAATAAATACGTTTAAAATAAATATTCTGAATCCGAGACCCTAATTTAATTTTTTTCTACAATATCAAAAACCTAAATTCATTCTGATCAGTAATTATATTTACATTATATTTAGGTATTAGTAAATAATTGTTATAATATTCAGGTAGTGAAGTATCCCATAATACTTCACAAGATGCATACGCATTAAAAAATGCCATAGTTAGATTATGGCTCCATCTTGGCATTTTTGTTGTAACGGAAAAATTGGGCATGACATCTCTGCGAACACTGCTTGGAGTTACTGACTGTCCGGACAGATGTTCAACTGGTTCAAAGTAGAAGTAGAATCATTGACTCATCTCCCCTACGTTTCTATTCAGACAAAGTGAGCGTTTACATTGTCAAATAAGTCATAGTGAGGGGCTTGCTTGGACAGGTATAAACTAGTCTTAAGTCACGCTTTCAAGACATGGAAAATGCAAGTTAAATTTAGACAATTGGTTCAGTAGAACGGTAAATATAGAACTGTCCTCTTTATTGTGCAAGATATACCAACTGCAAGGATATTAAATCCACTTGCTGAAAACAATAAACACCTTGGAAGAAATTTCTTTAGAGGCAAAATAAATAGTAAAACTATTTCAATAAATAGGAATTCAATGCAACAACATTTTTTGAATCAAATTGAACTTTCTTTTCATGCTCTAGTATACACAAAGCCAATGCTAAATCTAAAACTAATTAAATGTGTGCATTGTTTATACATTTCTTTTTTTTAAAAAAATATATATATAACATTTATTGGTACTTGCATATTACCCCATCCATCATGAAACTGCCACCAAACAGGGCGATTTAGTGTGAATTATGGATATGGATGACCATATCGAACCATTTATTATGATATGGTCACAACACTTGCGCTTTCATTTCATGTAATTACAATTCAATAAATCACCTTTAGTTTTTGTAACAAAGATATAAATTTACTGTTATTGCTCTATTTTCCCTTTGCATTTTGGGAGGGGGAAATGCTATTTGTGATAAATTCCTGTTATTTACAGCTGGTCCGAAGAATTAACATCTGTTGAAAGGGAGGTAAGAAATGGGTATGGCTAACAAAACAGTAATTGGGGGGGACACATGCGGGAATCTGTATTAACAGCCTGTTAAACAGAGCTTTTAGTAAAGCATGCAGGTCTAACAAAATAATAGAAATTTACGAAAGGAACTTTTTAGGAAGCCCAATTGAAGAGCATTGTGCAATGACAGTGTTTTTTTCTGGGGGGGGGCAAGAGCTACAGATAGAATGTAGCTCAGAATTCCACATGAATGACTGTTACAATGGTGGGATTTCTGTCACTTTCACAGTTCGATGGTAGACAACTTTCACAGTTGATGGAACAATATGTAAGTATCCACTTATTAACTTAAATCATTAAAATTAGTCAGGTATTTCATCATTCAAACTGTGATTTAAAGTAATTAAATAAAAAAAAAACATTACCTTATAGGAATATCTGTCAGGAAATGTTTTTCCGCAGCGTTTGCACTTCAGAGGTTTGTCACTGGTATGTAGTTTCTGCATATGAATACGGAGGTCTGTTTTACGGCCACATGTAGTAGGACAATAATCACAGTGAAAAGAAGGTTTGTTTCCTGAATGGATGAGCTTGTGAGCCTTAAGGCTGTTGGACTGAGTGAAGCGAGCTTGGCAAATATCACATTCATATGGTTTTTCACCTGTATGGATTCGCAAATGGCGCTTAAGTTTATACATGTCAGGACTTGCATAAGTGCAATGAGGACACTGGTAAGGACGCTCCCCAGTATGACAACGCATATGTCTTTTCAATTTACTTAGTTCTACACTAGCATAATCACATTCTGTGCACCGATGAGGCTTCTCATGTGTATGTCTATAACGCACATGTCGCACTAATTCTCCTGATGTTGTGAAAGATGCATCACAGTCCCGACAGCAATGAGGTCGTGTTCCTGTATGTGTATTAACATGGTTCTGTAAGGAAGCAAGAGTTTTAAAACCTCTCTCACACACTCCACACTTATGAGGCCGTTCTTCTGAATGGGACTTCATATGACGTGACAATAAATATCGCTAAAACAATTAAAAAAATTAGTTGTTAAAGATAAATTTTGATATATAGTTGTAAACAAACATGTTTTAAACTAAATTTAATTCAAATTATATAATAATTTAAACACTGAAGAAAAATAAGCTTATACATTTAGAAAATATGCACATATTATAAAGCATGGATTAAAAATTGCATGCAAATATCTACTATTTATCATTACATTAAACAGCTTAGTCACAGCTCAACTGCATTAGAAGCAGCCAAGATTACTAATCAAATTTTATCTAATTCAACAAACTATTTATTCCTATAATCAATTAATACAAATACTTTATCTTTAACATTTTCATTCCTGATGTATGAAATAGAAGTGGATTTATGAAGTAAAACCAATCACAACTGCAACAGGCCCCTAAATGTAGGCTAATTAAAAAAGAAAAAAGAAATAATACACCTTCAGATGAGATATGCTCTTACATCATAAAAACACCATGAGTATCACTTGATATGGTTCAATATCCTCTAGTATTCCCACTTTATCAAACAAGATGGAGAGAAAAATGTCAATGGCAACCCGCTACATCCAATTCAATACAGTAAAGCAGTAGTTTATTTGAATTTTTGGAAGTTAACAGATAGTGAAAGAATACAATGCAATTTGATGGTTGTTTTACAATGGTTATATTTTGTTTGATACTCTTATTGTTTTTTTCAAGCTGAGCATACTGAATGGAAGGAAATATTTAATTAAAAGTTTTGTTAGAGAATGAACCTGAAATTGATTATTAGCAACAACTCTGCATTTATAACAGTTCTGAAAAATTTGGCACATAAACATAAATGAATTACATAATGAGGAATTACACCTCATACATTTACTTGTTTCAAAAACTGTGAAATGGAACAGCAAACTGGTGTTTGGGTTCTTACATGCCTTTAATAAATTAATTTAAAATGACATAATTCCATCTTAATTTCTTATTCATTAGATAACGAAGAAAATTTTAAAATCCTGCAGAAAATAGGACCAAAACTTTCTGAGAAAGTCTAACATTTAGGTGGACAACATTTCTCAAAATGATTAAAATAATAAAGGAAAATACACAAAGGCATGCATTTTGCAAAGAAAGAACCAAACAGCAGAAACTCACATATTATTCTAAATAACAAGCAGTGTTTTAAATTATACCATGAAATGGCTTTTATTTTAATTTATTATTCATTTATTGTATATACATCTATGTAGCAATAGTAAAAAATATGCATTCATCATTTGAAATTTTCAAGTTTCTATTATACACATAAATAACCATAAGATGTTAAGTGCAATTATTATTATAATTCTGCAATTAACTTTTTTTTAACCCTAGAATGTTACTCTTTGAAAAACTTACAGGAATGGTAACCATTCATCTCCAAGATGAAGCATGCATAAGTGTATTTAAAACCTATTTTAAATGCTAATTAGAATAAAATTGTACTACCTGCAGATGCTTTTATGACTCGCGAACTTCAAATAAGTAAGAAAGTATCACTTATTTATTCTCAAAGCAGACTTTACATGTATTGGCATGATGTTCTTTGCTCAGTGCTCTGGAACATCACTGACAAAACTTGTGCATCATTCTGCACAAATTGCATGGGCAAAATGCACAAATGTTTTATTGTCAGATTGTTTGGGAGGTTGAATCTAATTTCAATAGTTCCCTTAAAACTGTTGTTGATCGATGCAAAGTTGATAAGTTGAGATGCTTCTTCATCCATGGAATAAGAAAATCTTCATTTAGCTTTATCATAAACTTTTTTCTCAATAAAGCTTTTCCAGATTTTTCAAGCCATATCATGCACATATATAACACACTAAGAGGCCATTGGCAAGTTTTTCTACTACATGACATATTGCTGCACATCTGATCCAATGTATCTACGGGCCCTTTTGTGGCTCACTCCTTTAATAAATTCAATAATACTGTGAGATGTTGTTACTGCATTGCTTGATTTACGATTTATGAATAGATGACCACTTATCTTTACCACAGGTGAATTTTTCAATTTATTTAGCACTGTCTTTTTTAGCTTCGTATTTCAGCTTCATATTTTCATCTTCCTGGGTTTGTTTTTCAAGTATAATTTCTTCTTCATCTTTACTGTCAAATCAATTTCATCTTTGTCGCTATCTGAGAATTTGGGATTTTCAACTTCAACAAAATCATCTTTCTATAATTCATTCCCCAAATTAGAATTTTCTTCATCACTTAGTACTTTTAACAGATCTTGGATTATAGCCTCAGTTCTACCCCAAAAGATTTTTTCATGAAAACGCTTTGACACCTTCAAGGCAACACAGAAATAAATCCAAGTCAGTTTCCAAAATGCAAATGATACAGCTAACCATTCGTCTCTGAGAAGAATATTGTTTTAGAAATGCCACCTGCGGAAATATTTTGGTGAGAAGGTATGTCCTAATCTGTAATGGCCAAGGTCACTTAGGTATGGAGTTGCACATCCCACTTCCTGTTTTAAGGAAGGCAGGAAAAGGTTATTTGTTGTGGATTTTGTCCAGGAGATGATTGGGTAGCATTCTAGGGGTTAACTGTACAATTCATGAATAATATACATAGCTATAAAGTTAAAACAGTATATGTTGGAATCCAGACATTTTGACAAAAGCCAATTTTATGGAAGTTTTTATATATATATTAATCTTAGCAGTGTATTGTACTTGGGGACACAGTAAAATCTGCTTATCAATTACGACAAACAGGCGAGGGTTAAGTGTCTAAACAAAGAGAGTTTTCAGATAGAAATTAGCTTGTATTCATAATACTCAGTAGAAAACTCTATGCAGCACCACTTTCACAGGAACTGGGGTCAAACTACTAGTGCTCAATGGTCTTATTCGTGCAGCTGCTTGGGGCTCACAGTGAATCGGAGGTTTGCATCCACACAAGAACTCAATTCTCCCTGTACCAGATGCAAAAAAGTTTAGAATATCGATTTCAGTTATTTTTACTTTAGTGTGCATTAAATTGATTACAGTTGCATTTGTTTTAACAGTGTATTTAAAATATTGGTTAAAGCAAAATGAAATATAGAACATTCTTACCAAGCAAATGCTAGTATTAAAAAATATCTCAAGTCAATGTTTATTAATGTAGCATGACAAGTTAATTTAACATATTTAAAAGATTTTTGAGATACACATATAAGACATTTACAATTACAATAAAATAGTACAACCAATTAAAAATGTATGCAGTAATTGAAACAGATATTAGCATATACAATTCAGTATATTCAGAACACCTAATGGGAAATTCTAACTCTCACATAAACGAACAAACTTGCAGAGCTAATTTATTTTTGTTAAGTCAAGATAGTAATATACTGTGGCCACTTCTAACTTCCACTATGCAGTTGAAACAACACAGACTAGTGTTGTTATTTATAATAGACACAACTTATATACTAAAAATAATGACTATTTAACCCAAAACAAAGATCAAGTTAATTGAATACTCCACAGTATGAGGATTTCTGCTTAGAGGAATGGTAAGTTTTCAAAATAATTTATGGAAACTAGCTAATTTTGCTTTACATATGAGATAAACAATGAATGCAGCTAGGTAGCCAACTCATTCTATCACCAAGGGTTGAATTCTGGACATAACAATCAAGCAGTGTTTCTGCAGCCACCTGACCACTGATGAGTCATTACAAAACAAAAATTTCTATTATTTAAAATGCCTAAATAAATTATTTTTTGAAACGTGAAGCATATAAACATTATTTTTTGAAACGCGAAGCATATAAACATTATTTAAAGTTTTAACAATGTTATAAAATCAGATATCAATATACAAGATAATGAAAAAAAATAATTACATAACATAAATTTATATCACTATCATTATAATATGTAACAACTTCTGATATTTATGTGTGGAATGTCATCTCTCACATCCGACAGACGGCACTGCACACTGGCTGATAAAACCTTGTGAAAAAAATGCAGACAAGGTTGCTATAACAACAGAAGACATGTACAGGTTCTAAAGATGAAAGAACTTGTATCTGTTTTTCTTTACTGTAAGAGTTTTCTTGTAAATATTCATGTTCCTTTTGTCCATTTTCATAGTGTGTAAAAATCATCATTATCCTTCATTAAATATTCAAGTCAAAATGTCAATTGGTTCAGAACATTATTATTTAATTTTGCTTACTGTTAAAACTATCAATACCATAAGTTTCTTTTTTATTACTTCATTTCTAGAATTTTCATATCATCTAGACTCTTAAATCTCAGAATGTTTCAAATTCCTTTCATTAATATTATATTGAAATTAATCTATGAATAACTAACTGTACAATTATCTCTAAACATTTAAGTGAAAGAAAGGAAGAGTGACACATCACTTCTTTTTAATCTTTTTTTTTTTTTTTTTTTTTTTAATGATCAATTTAAAGAGAGAAAAAGTTCAGACATGCTGAAATACCAGCTTCATACAAATTAATAACTGAAAATATACCAGCAGTACAGCTTTATGTGATAATTATGGTTTCACTGCAGATACAACTACTAACAGTGCTACTAATTTATGAAAAAGAAATACTGGGACTGAATTTATTATACTAAACTTTCCTCCCCAAAAGGGCAGAGCAAAAATACAAACTACAACTAACCTTTGGACTTGTATAATTACAATAATTACACATATGAGCTTGTGTGACTATTTGACTTTTCTTCTGAGTAATTCTTATAGTCCTTGTTTTAGTACCATCAGCTGCCACTTCTTCAGCAACAATTTCACCATGTTTTTCTCCTTCATTGAAGTCATAAACTGACATATCCAGATCCATTTCCTTTGTTGGATCTTTATCATCATCTGACTGAGCAACAATGAACATATAACTGACTTCTCCAGAATTGCCATTAGTAGGAACAACTGTGACAGTTTGGTATGCATTACCGACATTCAAAATGACCTGCAAAAAATACAGAATATGTAATGAGAAGTTTTAAATAGTTAAATAACTACTAAAGTTCACTTCACTTATTTATAAGCTTGAGAACAATATTTCTGCAGGGTTTGTACACATTTCTGCATGTGAAAATTAAGTACATTTAAGAACAATCAATGAAAAAAATTAGCTATCAGCAAATAGGAACTACAGCAATTATCTAAAAACTAAAGCAATTATCTACGAACTTCACTTATGTAATTTGTAAGAATAAAATAAATATGAAAGTAGGATGCATTATTATCAAACCTAATCTAATATTTAACTTAATTATAAAACAAATTCAGGAACAGAGTCAACTTCATAATTTTTTTGGGGTATTTAGCATTAAATTGAAAAATTTCTTCAAACATTTACATTTTACATTTATAACAGTCCCACATAATTTAAAAAAGATTAGTGACTTTAATTAGTGAAGATTAGCGATTTGAATTTTACTAACAGTTAACTTTATATTGATTTTTTTCATTATGCCTCATTTTGCTGAGTCCAAAGGTTTATGTAAATTTAATGTGTGTCTAAATTGAGAAGTAAAATAATAATCAGCATGACTCATAACAGACGCTTGGCTGTTGTTACTGCGATTACCTGCTTAGAGAGAGATGTGAATGCCTGACGCTGGTACGGTTGGCAAGTGTTGAAAGTCAGCTGCACTTTGTCTAACCCAGTTAAGAGTCATAGATTCATATACATTTGGTGCAGCTGTAACGCAGTTAACACACAGTATTTAATATAAGCACCAGAGGTGCAACTGAAGCACCAGAGATATGCCATTGAAGCACCAGAGGTGAAAGACTGTTTTGTTTCCTTTTAAGACTCATTAGCTGTAAGGAATAAAGTTTTGCGTTAATTTTTATATTTTTATGTTGCATCTTGCATCCACAGTAAGGATTTAGGAAAGGTGGTAACTCACCTTAACATCTAGAAATCACTACTAAAGGTGAGCTGTTATTTATATATAATTAAATCACATAGTTAGATATCGTTAGTCATAATAGATTTACATGGTTACAATTATATTTTTTCATTTCTAAAAAATATCCATTAAAAAAGCACCAAGAACATTTTACAGCAATTATAATTTATGATAGTGATTCTAGATTTTAATATAAAAAATAAAAAGATTTAAAAAAAAAAAAAAAGCTTCAATGGATTTCATGATTTGGGATTTCCTAAATGGCTATTCTATTTCTCAAAGGGCATTATCCACAAAGAAAGACTACATTCAAATAATGTCTCCACGGAATTAAAACATGGAATCTAAATTAAAATGGTTATGCATAATGCATAAAAAGAAAACGTTATTTGAATAGAAATGTGGCAAAATGGATCCATATATTTTTCATTACTGCCGTATGATGATTCATTTACTTGTGAGTCCATGTCCATTGATTTTTGTGAATAATAGCTTCAGATGAATAATAACATAATCAATGACTGGAAATGATTACATATCAGAGGTAAATGCCAATTCCTTGTAGCTTGTCCTAATGTTAAAAATTGATGGATGCAACAAAATTGTGAAAACTGACGAGAGCTTATTTACAAAAAGGAAAAATAATGGAGGCCATGCCCTTCATCAAGTTTTTGGTGGACTGTGTTGAAAGATGAGAATGCTTTCTTTCTCTATTCCCAATCATTTTGAAAAAACTTTAATGGCCGAAACAGAAAAGAATACGAATATTTTATATTAAATCAATACTAACAGAAATTTAGTCAAAAGGGGAGAAATCTTGAATAGAACAAAAAAACTTTTGGTAAAACTTTTACTTTTTAGTAAAAGAAAATGCATAGTATTGAGGCAAAGGCAAACGGCAAGAATTTTTTTTTAAAATGCATCATAGCATGGCTTTAATGAAAAAGTGCCATGACTGTCTTCCAACTGCTATGCATTTATATCAACTCATTTTCCTAATCCTCAAAAACACTTTCATAAAAACTTATCTTCATCTCGACAAATTTTCATTTTTTGCATAAAGAGACTCACAATGTTCATTATAAAGCAGTAATTATAAGCACAAAAGGAAAATAAGGATAAGTTTCATAATGCAACTTCATGCAGAATGGTTAAAGATTGCACAGCCATATTTATTACATTTTTGGACACAAAACTCACAAATAACTGCAGCACTAAGAACATGTGCACTATCATGCTATCCACAAGTTATCTTAGAACCTAGAATCACAAAATCACAAATTATCCTCACACAACTCAGGTCTCAAGATAACTTGTGATTCTATGATTTGCCTTATGCAAACACTCGTATAATATTCTTTATTTCCTTATTAACAGTTTGACTAGTTTGTAGAAATTCAAAATAGGGCTACATAATTTTATCAGTTTCTTAATGCACTGACTGAAGAAAAGAAGACAAAGATGAAAATAACAAGGATGACCTTGAAGGGTATTGGAATTTGGAGACACGGTAACAGACTACATCAAAGAACAAACTGCATCCAAATTTAATATAAGACCTTTCTGAAATCTTTTGCCAATAGTCTAAAAGATGTCCACATTGCTTACAAAACAAAACATAATACACGTTTCCTAAACAAAAAACTAAAAAAAAATCTAAATCTTAAACAAAAAATCTACATTAATATAGATAAATTCTATTTTAAACAGGATACTGTATGCCATTCTCTCAAAATGCTCACAAAAGTCTTCTTTCTTTTGTTTTTTTTAGCAGTATTCATGTATTAGATTTCGAAAGATTTATTTATTTATTTGCATTATCCATGTTTTTTGGCTACTGACATGGCTGATCAGGATTTTAGTAAAAATGATAGTGAGTTATGCAGATATGCAGATGATAAGTATAAAATAAAATAAATAAAACTGTACTGGATTGTTGCCATCAGTAAGTCCACCTGAAGCTGCTTGTTCTACTATGGTTGAAATCATCTGAAGCTGATTTTCATCACTTAGCTGAACCTCCTGCCCATCATTTGTAAGCAAAGTTGGAACCCGTGATGAAGATACTGGAACATTTTGTTCAGTCTCAGAGCCATCAGGCTGCCGCAAAACCATACGTATTGTATGAACTTGAGGAATTCCAGCTTTGGAATCAGTCTGGGAATTATCTTCAGTTGTAACCAAAGTAGCAAGCTGACCCTAAATTAATAAATAACACATTCAAATGTATTTGTTTAAATAATATTAATATAATCTAAATATCTGTCATAGTTGGTAGTTCCTGATTACTTGCACCCCCAACCAAGAAGTTACAAAAAAGTATTCACAAGGCAAAGCAGTATGTCACCAAAATGCATATGTGGCAACCCATGATCCAACCAATATATATGTGACAACCCAGGTATGCGAGTAGCACATGCCTGTTTTAGCTGGTACGCAATTCCAAAGTCATATTATGTTGAGTTTGAGAAATTCTATGACTTTTCTTCCAAACAAAAACAAACTGCTGTTTACTGGAAAGAACAATAGTACAGAAAAGAAAGACTTCTCAGAAAAGGTCAGTGTTTTATTACCGACATTTCTCATTTTTATACTTTCATTACTTGATTGCTCTTGCATGGAATTCTTAGTGTATCACTGTTTAGAAAATGGCTGCTGCCTTTTGCACACTGACTAAAAAAATCACTGAGTTCACTGAATCATAACATTTCAGTTGGGGTGCAGATGATCAGAAAGTACACCACTGTTTTTTAACACGTTATTTATTTATTTATTTATTGATACAGAGTAAATTTTGAAAATTACTCTTGTAAATATGGCTTAATATTAAACTTTTTCAATTATTTAAACCACAGATTCCCAAAGTTACTTATATGGACTCCAAGAGGTCTCAGGTCAACAAAAGAAAAACTTTGGGGTACATGAGATGTAAGCAGAGGTCCACAAGACTGGATCCCATTTAAGCAGGTTACCACCAAACTTTAGACATTCTGTAAATACCATAATGTTCTTAACACTAATTTTACATAGTAGATTATTACATAATACTTACATAATATGACAGCCATATGAAATAACTACTTTTATAATAATTAAGTATATTTCATAAACTTATTAAGTCGGTACCTATTTGCTTTGTGATCACAGTACTTGTACAAACTTGCACATTTGATACCACTAGCAACATTTGCTCAGACATGCAAAGATGGTAAGACTTGTATCACCTATGCTTCTACGAATCAGTGTACTTCACTAATTATAAATACAAGTGTCAGAGATAAGCACTGCAATTGTTTTCTGAATTTTGAGAAGGCAAGCAAATATATAAGCAAATATTTTTAAAAATAAAGGTAGGTAATTTGATACAACATAAATACATGAATTTGTATACGACCAAATCTAAAAAGAAATGTAAGCAGTAAAATGAAATTTGGCTTCATTCCGAAAAATTCTTTATTCTGAAAAATCAGATGGCATGTTACAAGAAAAATTGATTGGAACAAATGCAGTTTAAAAAGGGATATCAGCACTTCTGGCTTCAGAAAGACATACCTGTTACTTATCCTGCATTATGGACTATCACAAGAAAGTTTTTAATAGCATTTCTATCTTCATACCATCTCATGGAAAGGTTTCAATGCTGTAGCTAATCTTCTTACGGAAAAAAAAAAAAAAAAAAAAAAGAGAGAGAGAACCAGACTAGAAAGCACGCTCCAAGGAGATTTAATCTTAAGCCTAACTAATTTAAAGGCACATATTAAAAACTTGCTATTAAGCGTCAGGTTCATCCCTCCTATTAAAAGCATTGACTTTTTTGTATGCTTCTTTTCTGTAAAAATGTTACTAGATTTGCGTCTTGCGCTGTTTTCATTAATTAAGATGTATAAATAAAAACATAACTCTTTTTTTTTTTATTTTTTATTTTTACTGTACAGGAAACCCTAAGTGAGTAGTTCAGTGTCAGTAGTCAAAAAAAAAAAAAGTTTGAAGTTGAAGTTAAAAAAATTCAGTATTCGATTAATGTTCCAAAATAACTTAGCTAATGTAAAATTTACCCAATAGTGCACTTGTCATGTGGCATTTACACTTTGCTTTCATCTGAGTGCTTTAGAATGCTTTGGATGAAACTTTAACCTTGGCTTCATTCTGTTCTGAAATGCTTTTGCATAAATATTACACTGCCTGACTTTATTTTGGAATGACCCCTAAGGGTCTACAAAAAACAGAAAAAAATCTTGCGAACTGTCTATGGCAGTGGTCTCAAACTGGTGGCTGTGAAAACGTTTCAATTATATATTTTATGCAGTACTGAAAATTTTCAAGATTTTGGTTCTTGGAAGTTCTCCAAGTTTATATTTTCATTTTCATAAAAACAAACATAAATAACACACCAGGAAATTAATAAATACAGTTAAGTGATTTATAGTATGATATAAATTTTATCAAAGATTTGAAAATGCAGATTTTATTAAATTTTACTTTTTGTTTCGGAATATATTCTGTATGTAAACAGCATTTTCTTCACAATTAAAAATAAGAAAAAGAATTATATTGACATACAAGCATCTACAATCTGCGATGAAGATACTTTCTAATAATTTCTCTATAAGGCTAAAACATTATCAGCAACAAAACCCTATGTGTCAAGCTATAGTAAGAAATAAAGATTTTTAGAATTAGTTACATAAAACATATACACTTGTATCCATGTGTCAAAGAAATAATTAACAATTAACAGAAAGAGACTAGGTTGTTATGATTTACTCTTAAGTTTTGTAATACCTAGTAAATTTTTCCTGTAAACTAGAAAGTTTTCATAATTTTCTTAGTTTTAGTTTAAATGAAAGTAAGCTATTTAATGATTAATTAAGCATGTTAGCATTTGACATATATGTCAGTCTTAAAAATTTAACATTTGAATTGTTGTAGTTGTGAACTAATCCTGCTTGTCTGATATATACACCTGTTGCTGGCCAGAACCTTGGGCACCATATAGGTAACTGTACGATTTTGCTCAATTCCACCGCAATTTTTTGGAAGACACATTGGGGGTTGATCTGAGGGTCTCCCAACAATCCATATGAAAGGACTTTTCGCCCGCCATATATTTAGAGTGCTCACATGCTACAAAGACATTACACACATCAAAGTCTTCTCTGGAATTTGAACACAGGCCCTTCAGTACAGTAGACAGAATCACTAACCACTATCCCATTTGGGCGCAACACATTTGAATTATAAAGTGTTACCAACAAAAGTATTTTACAGGTCCTAAAATTTAGAATTCAGTCCGAAAATAAATATAAATTTGAATGGTTTTCTTTTGATATATTATTAGCATTGTTCATATATGCTTTGTTAAATATTTAGTATGCAAAATTTAAAATTTATTTACAGTATTTTTTATTTCCTTTGAAAAATGTTATTGTTAAAAAAAATTCTGGTCTGTCAGCTGTTTTCAGATTCTGCATTTGACCTACATGCAATTTGAGTTTGAGACTACTGATCTGTGGGATAAAAGTTTGGGACTTCTGATTTAAAAAAATCTCTGTCAAGACTTATTTTGACTAAATAATAAAACATTACTTAACTATTGTTAACTAAAATGATACCACAAAAACATCACAATAAGTGTTAACTTACAATGGGAAAAGTTAAAACATGTGCATCAATAATAAAGATAAGATTATTTGCTGTATCAGAATACTTCAGGCAGCTACAATTGAATAATTAAAGATGAAAGTAACATTCAGGCTAACACAAGAATAATAAAACACTTATGAAAAGAAGAAAATAATACATAAACTTGTAAATTTAACAAAATTATATATAAACACAGAATAAAAACATACACAAAAACTGGGAAAACTGAAATAAGGAACAAGATTCAAGAAATTTAATACTAGATGTAATTAATAAGAAACAAGAATTTATGAATAATGAAGAAATTCTTAAATTAGCTCCCTTTTTTTTTAAAGGGATGATCAGATTTGTCTAAAATGCTTCTATATTTTAATTTTCTAATCTACGAATAAGTCAAAAACAAATACGAGGAGACACAGTTTATATTTCACCAAACATGCATGTATTAATCGATATGTTTCACAGAAAATTTCAAATATCATCGGCATCTCTATCCTTTCAATAAACATATTTTTATGCAATTTTACTTCACTTAAAAAAGTGGAATTAAAGAAATGGAAACATGAAACATTCAGGCTTCATCCTTATAACATGTACCACCTTTAAACCATAGCAAAGTAATATTACATAAAGTATTTACTAAGACTGCAGCAAGTAACTATCACATCAGTAATTACTATAATAATCAATTCCTTTGTTACATTTACATATTTTTGTCACATTGAAATATTCCACTCCAATCCGATGGGAGGGGAGTGAAAGGGTTCAGATTTTTAACCATTGCCCAAAAGGGCTCTTTTAACGTTTGACACAGTTTATTAGTACATATTATCAAAAGAGATAGTACTGTTGGAATTATAGGCTACTAGATGAATATACATTTGGATTAACATGGGAATTTTGCGCATTTTCTGTATATTTGAAAAAAGAAAAAAATATGTAACATAATTCTGTAAACATATTTAAAGATTTTAATTGCATATATATTATTAATCATATGCATTTTTATTTAAATCAATTAGATTAAAAAGTTTTAAAAAAAAATTCTTAAGAACTGCATCTAATGCTTTTAAACAGCTTAGTATACAGACAGATTAAATCCAAAAGGTAAATGTCCTTGATTTGCTGAATACCAATATTTAAATGAAAAGTGAAATAAGGCATTAAAATGAATCAATGCAAAATTGTGTTTCCAGACTAATAGCCCTTTGGGGCATAAAAGGAAAAAGAAATGAGAGTTTATGATCTTTGTGTTTAAAAATTTTAATATTTTATAACTTCTACTAGCAAAATCTGCAGCAGAATTTCTAAAATTTACATAAAATAAATCTGATTATAACAGTATATCCACAGAATACAATACTGCCAACAAATTAATATTCAAACATGAAAAATTCACTATAAATAATGACACTGAAAATTATGAATTACTTAATAAATAAAGATCATAAACATATAAGATTACTCAACAACCTCTCCGATGCAAGATTCTTAGCATTTATTTCAAATGTGAACATACTTGAAATATATAATTGCAGATCCAATAACTTAAAATATATTTAACTTTATACACACTCTGACTGGTTAATTAAGAGTTTTAATATTACACAGACATTTCCTGAAGATACTCACAATGTGCAAACATACTATCTTGTTAAAAGATTACAACAGCCCCTACAGTACAACCACAACAGCACTGGAAATACTACAGATTGCAAAATGATGCATTGCTAAATGATCAAATTTCTATGAAGAATTACTAAAAGTAAAGTTTACAGGCAATGGTTCTTCAAACAGTAACAAAGGTTATACTGGATGTACACATAATGATGGGAGCTCAGCAGCATTAGCCATGTATTCTTAATACAAATATTTTAAGTTATTTGAGCCAAATATAAACTGCGATTCACCATCCAGTGTGGTATAGCTATAATACATTCCAAGTTTTGTGGTTGTAATACTGAAGTAAGCATTGTTGTTGATGCTTATGAATTGGTAGCAGAGGTCACAATGGATACAAAAACCAAGACCATATTTCTCATAACAGTAATTTGTGCCTGATCCAATATGTTCAAGATCCAATACAATTTTTTTGCACAGCATTTTGAATGACAGATAACAAAGCTATCAGTATACTTACAGTTGCCCTCACTATTGCCTAACTTCACTCATCCTAAGTTAGCTATGACGGTTACGCATCCTAGTTAGATTCTCCATCAACTCTTAATGATCCTTCTAAATAGTCAATAAGTTTCCCTCATTAAGTTAATCATTTTCATAATTATAACATGACATAAGTTAAATTCATTAACTTATTTCGTAATTATAATATTGATGAAATTCATAAACTTATTTCGTAATTATAATACTGATGAGTCAAACAATAATGAAAAAGGAATTTCGAATAATTAGTTGCATTATACTCATTTTTTAAACATTTTACTGGCTGTTTTCTCTAATGATAACAATAATAAAAAGATAATCAACATTCTTAAATTTGACAATCATTTCTATCCCTTAATCAAACTGATTTACTCGAATTAAAAGGCAAAATAAAATGCTATTCAGAATACTGGATTTTTTTAGAAGTTGTTAGATCTTAAAGAAAAATAACTATTTGCTTGCTGAGTTCATTTTCCCCCTATTTAGTTCCCCCTATCTTATTAGGGGGGAAATTTTAAATATCCAAGGTAATAAGTAACAGAAATATATAAGTTAAGGAAATTTTTAAATACAAATACTTTTAAATAACTTTTTGATAAATATCCCCATTGGGATCACAGTCAGGTAAATAATAAATGTGGGAATAACATTGCAAAATATTTTCTCAAATTTTGAGTTACCTGACTTTGACCACTTTGACCATCTTCCATCTGGGAGTCTTGAGATGTACTCGCCTGCATTGCAACAAATGTTGGTTGCTCTCCAACTTGGGTTGCAGTACCTATCGCCTGATTTAGAATTAAAAAAAAAAAAAATTTTAATGTTATAAACTGAGACGTATTCATATTGATATTTAATTAAAAGAGAAAAAAAAAAGATAGAACTAATTGTCTGATAATTATAAAAATTATCAGACATTTTTAATGAAAGTCCAATATTATAATAAGTTTTCCAAAAATATCAGATTATGCATTTCATATTTAAGTGCTTCCCAAACACTTTTATTTTAAAAAATTCACTCATTTAGAAAAGAACTGAAAGAAAGAAATCCCACAAATTAGAATAAATGTCAAATTTACTGAAAATTAAAACTGGAGAGTAACATTTAATTCAGTTCACCAGAGGCAGATTAACTGAACCCAATCTTGAAAAAAAAGTTGAATTTGTTTATCGCAGAATGATAGAACAATAACTATCACAAACCATTAACATAACGCAATACCCTATATGGAAAATACAAACAGGAAAAGAAAAATGCATTGGATAAAAACTGTGACAAGAAATATGACATACTATTTAGGACCTGCTTTTATGCACAAAGTACATAATTTAGTTGCATGTAATCTGGTATACTGTAACCATTCCATAAATTTCCGATTAAAAGTAAATCTTTCAGTCATAAAGCTAAGTTAATGTTAACTTCTTTTAGTATTAATGTTAGCTTCTTTTAGCATTAATTACATAGATTTATAATTTGGTTTCTTCATTTCTAATGAAGTTTATTCTTATATTATTTACAGTGTGATCTTTTTACTTTGAATACTAATTTAATTTATGCAACCAAATTAATTTATTCTTCACATTAAACTTCTCGGTAATACATATTAAATTATCAGTAGTTTTTGTTATTATGGGTTACTATTTTTCCCACAGTTTTTAACTACCTTTGGATTAAAAGTGATTTTGAATTAACTGTGGATATGTAGAGTTTTTCTAGTATAAATAGTTAGTTCTATAGATAGTTCCACTATCAATAGTTTTTGTTATTAAGAGTTATTATTTTTTTCTCACAGTTTTTTAACTGCCCTTGGATTAAATGTGATTTTGAATTAACTGTGGATCTGCACAGCTCAGTAGCTTCCCAGTATAATTCAGATAACTAGCAGTTGAATGTACCTTGGTAAGCAAAGCAATTCAATAATTTCTGCATGCCTTATTCGGCTTCAACTTCAAAAATACAGTGTAATATACTTTTAAAGTACCATTATAAATAAGCCCAATGCTACTTTATTTTTTACACATATTACTTTGTTATAAAAGCATTATCTTTTATGCTTTTACATATAGGCTTATTAATATGAAGTATTCAATAATAAACACAATACTGCAAAATTACTGGGAATTTTTAACAACTTACATTAAAAAAATATTGGATATAATAATAACAACACAAAACTGACTTTTAAAAGTACCCCTTAAAATACCAATTTATATTTTGTCTATTTAGCAAAAAAATAATCAAACATCTTTTCTTGGATTAATATGTAATCAAAATTAAACAGCATTTATATTCCCTCAGTTCACTCCTACTTTCTTACTTTTAAAGTGGGTTATCACATCTAGCGACGGTCCCCGCTAAGCGACAGTTTTCTGAGAAACGAGATTCTGGTAGCATTGGATTAAACAGGAGGATTCCTACAAAAAATAGCTTTGCTGGAACCAAAATCCTGCCTAGCTTTAAAAATAAAAATATTAAAAATAAAATATTAATCCTTAGTAACTATGTGAAGTTCATATTTATTTAAGTAATATTTTTCTATTGCCTAAAGTCCCTACCACATATGCTTTCGCTATGCTGGACTGGACGTCGAAAGGGACATTTTTCAGAAGCCGCACATTTCCAGGAAACCTACGTAGATAGGTTACAATTTTCACTTACTAAACATACTCGAATGCCAAACAGTAATCGATTATCACTCAGATTAGGATCACATGATCCTTTAGAAGCAGAATTTTCGTCTGATATCTACCCGGTAAACAGCTGCGACAAAACATTTTCAGTGAAGTTTCAAAATATCCGTGTAGCCGGAACATCATTTCAGTAGCTAGGCAGGATTTTGGTTCCAGCAAAGCTATTTTTTGTAGGAATCCTCCTGTTTAAGCCAATGCTACCAGAATCTTGTTTCTCAGAAAAGTCTCGCCTAGCGGGGACCGTCGCTAGATGTGATAACCCACTTTAATGTTGAAAACTGATCTTATTTAATGTTATCATATTTCGTTCTGCAAAAATTCTAAAATAAAGAATGCAGCAATGAAAAGAATAAGTTAAGAAATTAAGAACATTTAGAGAGTCTATATTATGTTATTCTAGAACCATATTTTGCATAGCAAAACCACAGAAACTGTACAAAAAATACAAAAAAAAAAAAAAAAAAAAAATTAGAGTGAGAAAAGCACATTAAAGTATATACTTGAGATGCCAAGGATGCAGGAATAGCAACTATTTCAGGCCTTCCTCCTCCAGCACCAGTTCCTGAACTAGCTTCACTAACAGCAAGAACTATTTGCTGAAGGCCCGCATGGTCTTCTGCTGTGACAGTTCGGAAGGCAGTTCTTTGACCAGCAACTGGCAAAACTGTCGTACCATCTGCTTGTGTTGCATAGGCAGTTATTGTGCCATGCTGGTTCGGATCACCAGTAGCTGTAGTATAATAAGTACCATCTGAAGAGGCATAATAAGTAGTTCCAAATGAAGCCTTGAAAAGACATTATATTAAGTTATAATACATATGCTATCTAATTTTATATAACACTGGATACAAACAGAATAGTTGTAGAAATCGAGAGAGCAGCAGAAGTAGTAATAGAAAGAACAGTACTTTTGCAACAATAATTATTAAACTATACAATCAAATAATTATTACTCAATCACTATTACATTAAATTTTCTATTAAGATTAACTAAGCAAATAAACACACTAATAATAACAATAAAATGTTAAAATACAATAATTATTCTTCTATTTAATTTTTTTTTTGGCAGCATAACTGTCTTCAAGAATTCTGGAAAAAGTACATACCACTAAAGCTGCAGGCTTAATAATAAGTCAAATTAAAATTAACACAGCCACTTTAATCTACTAATTGGCTATCTACAAATAAGCAACCAACCTGTCAGAATTCGTGACTCAGTAAATAATATGTCAACAATACATATATTAAAACACACATAAGCTAAATAGATATATGTTTTCTTGAAGAGGATAACACATAAAAGTTAAGTCACAGCGACAGCGATTTAAATTTTTTAAATTTAGACATAGCAAGCAATGATGCTTACAACCAAACAGACTTAACATAAAACTATATTTAAGAGATGATACTAAATTTTGAAAACTGAATCTTCTTAACATATGTTTATTATAGAAATGCTCTATAAAAATGAATCAAGCATTTTAAAACTTCATATTTTAGAAAATGCTGTTTGGTATACTGAAGACATGAAATAATTATAAATTGGTGAGTACTGAGAAAACAAGGTGGACCATATAAGCTAAATTACATGAAAATAACTGTAATGCAGTAATACAGATCTCAAGAATCACATCATAACATACTTTTGGAGTTAAATAGGAAAATTTGATTTACTGACATAAGGAAATTGAACAAAATAAATAATTAATAATAATAATAATAATAATAATAATAATAATAAACCCTGAAATAACAAGCTAAACTCACAGATTGTAAAATACAAATGTTTTTAAAAAAATTAACTATAAATGCAATACTGAACAGTACCGAGGAAGAATTTCTTCTGAACCCTAAAAGCTGGGAATTGAAAGAATTCACAGAAACACCAGGATATAAGTATATCCAAATTTAAGTAAAAATAAACACAATTATTTTTAAAGTTAGGTAAAATTGCAATCTTAGGTTGGCATGAATGAAACTCTTCTTGATTTTCAGGGCAATCAAACATATTTTCCTCTTCTTCCAAGGAAAAAGTAACAGAAAATGAAATGCAGTCAAAAGTCTTTAATCCGGACTCATCGGGACTTTGACGATTCCGGATTATCGATCATCAGTTTAAATCTGGTAAGATGGCGTGCAGAAATTATACAATTAAAAATATGAAATCGTAATTTATGAAATAAAGAGCAATTGTGATCTAAAAGGTATCAAATTGACAAAAAAAAGGCTTAATATTTATTTGTTTACTTTATTAAACATTTATTTCAATGCGCACATGCGTAAAGCATACATTATGCATAGTCAAAATTAGAAAATTGCAACCAGAAAACTATTTTATGTGCATTCGTGATATTTATAATGAGGAGGAAATTGATTTAAATCATATCGGTGTACATCGAGACGAAACACTACATTTAGTAAAAAATTATAAGCAGAACAGACTAGAGAAAGAAAGAAAAAAAAAGTTTTGCTCTGTCACAAAACAAATCTTCATGATCCTCTCCAAAGCTGTCGATATCGTTGAAGGGTCGAAGCAAAATATGAGCTGATTAATTCAGTAGTACATCACATTACAACTTTTGCATCATCTGATCCAAACCCATGTAGTGACAAAGAAGTCAGGAAAGGCTAGAAGATGGCAACATTAAACTTATACTTGATTTAATAGCATCTTCAAACAGGAAACCTACTTGCCAGGACATTCCGACCTATATTCTTACAACAAAACAATACTGGGCTCTTTGGAACTCATTCGGTAAGTGAACTGCTGTCTTGTACCGGACGTTTGAATCAGGACAGAAAGACATTCCGATGGCTGCTGATACTTTCAAGATCCCGGACATCCTTAAATAATTACATAGCAGTCTAAAAGAAGGCTACTTTAGAATAATGAATACTTTGCATAGAAAGTGACAGCATTTCAACTGGAGTAATGTAAGGACATACATGCAAAAGTGGCCCAATCATGCGATGATTGTGTGGGTCAGAAAGAACAGAAGAAATGCAGCTGAGGGAAGCTGCAATGTTGCAACATAGGAGCTTCTTTTGAATGTATTATGTTTGACATCTTGGGACCTTTGCCACAAACTGCTGATAGCAACAAATACATTTTTGTTGTCATTGATTACTTCACAAAGTGCCCAAAGGGTACCCTAGCCCTGATCAACAGGCTGTCACAGTATCAGAGGTAATGATACAGAATTCGGAATTTTGTCTTCCCTAAATTCTGCCACCTGGTGCAGCTATACGAGCTCTGATGCCGGTTCTGGGTTTAAGTGAATAACATATCAGTTATTTTTAATTCAAATAGCACTAAATGTAATCTTTGGCCTATGAGTAACAAAATCTATTTTTAGCATATGAAAAGAAATTTTTGTTAAATTTTTCACCGTCAACATTTCTTAACCCATTTAACGTAAATCTAAACATCACCAAGTGTAATGTCAGCATAAAAGGTTGTCATACTCTTTATTATTCAATTACGAATATAAAAAAATTTTTAGACATCATTGCATGAGTCATTACCCAAGTTGTTGTGTTGATAAACATGCGGTGAAGAAAGCAAAATATAATAAATAATGATTCACCAAGTTGATGTCAGGGATATAAAATACTAGTAGGTGTAATACCAATGATGTTCTTTTGTAGAATGTTTTGGTTTCAGATGTATGCCAAGCAGATATGCAGCTATGGAGCCATATTATTGATCTCACAAATTTATGCTAAAATGATTGTTTCTTCAGTAATTTCAATAAAGAGATAATTTATTTAGTGCCTCCATAAAATTAAAAATTGGGACTCTCCACAGGTTTTATTATGGGAGGAAAAAATCAAATGCATATGCGTAAAGCATACAAAAAGAAAAACTGAAAGGTATGAGATTTTAAATAACGTCCAAAAGAGAGTTTTTTAACATTTTGTGTGTTACCTTTATTTATTAAATATCATGTTCTTTTCAATTAAACCACATAAAATTCAATTCAATAACAATATCACAAACTAACAAAAATTGAGCATATCTTTAGAATTTCCGATAGACCATCTCGCGCGCTTAGAGATAAAAATGTTTTTTCTGTACAACGTTGCCATTACTCGCTTTGAAATCCTTGAGTTTCTTAATCAGAAATTCGTTAAAGTTTTACAAAATATGAAATCAATAACAAAACAAATTCCGAATTTGGGCTTCCAGATGCTTATATTCGCAGAAGGATTACATCATTCAAAATTTGATGGCTCTAGGTACCATTGTTTTATCACAATGCGAGAAACATACATACATTTCTGAGATTGTTCATTATTTAATTTCTTCAAATATAATACAGGATGATAATATTTGGTGGCAACAGTTTGAAAAGTGATACAGCTTTTTAAAGATTTCAACGCAAAATGCCAAAACAAAAACAATAGTCCCTCAGGGACAAAGCCTGTGGCACTTTGAGGTCAAGATTTTAGACCATTCCGGATATTGGATGTCCAGATCTCGGACATTTTACTGTACTATATTATCATGCAGATTTATTTTGATAACAATTATTAATTATTGCATTAATAATTTTTAATTTGTTTGTTCTAAAGATCTTTTTAAATAGTTTTATAATGGCCCCCTCTATTTATTTTTGTCAGAGCATCTCTTAAGCCAATAACAATAATTTCATCCACAGTTTTAAATCCATAAGGGAAAAAAAAAAGATGCTTCTATCTATCGTCACAGCTGCAGAGATGATTAATTAAGGTACACTAGTATATGAGAATAAAAACATTTTTTTTAAAGTGAGATGCACAGAAACAGCTTGGTTTTAAAAAGTTCTAAAGAAGCTTCCATGAGTGCCAAAGAAGCTTATAAATGCATGCGCATGGAATTCCTCCAATACTTGCCCATATTGGTTATACCAATTCATGATAAAGCATAAAAAGTTTTAGATGCATTTATAAGCATTTTTTTACATAAAAAAAAGAAATGCAGAATAGTTCATAATGAACTGGAAATGTTATTCATTATCATGTATAAAAAGTTTAACAAAAAACTTTTAAGACCATACCTCGCCTTGTTCATACTGAAATCCTTCTCCTCCAGATGTCCCAGGTGTTGCCACAAAAAATGTAGTTTCTGTGCCTTGCCCAGTTGCAGGATCATCTGCAGTGGTATCCAACTGAGAAGTCTGAGCAGATGCCCCTGTTGTTCCTCCATCTTGGATTTCTTTATTAAATGAGGCTAAATAGTTCTGTATATCAGTGATAGTTTCAGCTCCTTCTGATTCTCCTGTATTTTCATCCATTCCTGTGCGAAGAAATTAAAATGAAGAACTTATTTTTTTAAATTATGATCCAAAAACTTAATCAATTTGAATTAAAGTTAAATCATAAGTTGCTTATAGTACTTATATCTTAAGGAAAAAGACCAACTATTATTACATACTATTACAGAATGAAATTATAATTTTTCTTTTAGGGAAGAAGTTAATACTGAGGAAAAAAAAGAGAGAAAAGACAATACACAGATAATTAACAGCACAAAACAACAGGCAACATTTTTTTTTTTTTTAAATTAAGCTGAAAATTATGCTATCAAGTATTGTAAAAGAGTTTTTAAGCAATTTTCTGCAAAGGAATTATTGGAGTCATTTAGCATCAAAAGCATACTCGGAGTAAATCAGTTTTTATAGTACTTGTAAATATATTTTACTTAGCAATGCTTGATAGGTTAGTAATGATTTTCAAGTACAGCAAATGCTTATTTTGCATGCTATATATTATAAAAATAATAAATTTATAACATCTGGATGAAATGGAGAAATCAGTTCTGCTTTTTAATATGTTTTATTATGGTCAGAAAATAATAATTTAATTTTTACTCGGAATTTAATACCTGGAAAAACTTCAAAATTGAAGGAAAACTCCTAATTTAATTGAATATCTTCTTATCACTATTGGAAAATTATTGAACACCTCCTCTTCTTTAAGATCTCATATAAAAATGTCCCTGGAAAGCAGTTCATTTCTTGGGGGGCATTCTAAAATTGACAAAAAAAATGTTAATTTTTAACTCAAACAATATTTCATTGATTCAGTATAACACATATTATGACCACATTTCTTTTTTATCTATAAACGAATCCATTATGGCTATAAAAATACATACTAATTTGAACTTTCAAGAAACGAAATTAATTTTAGTTGAGCATTAGAAAATGAGTACTTTGATTATTCATAGCCCCACTGAAAATTTATGAAAAAATATGAATGAGGCAAACCACCACACTGCTGAAAAGTATTAATGTAGCAAGACAAGTATGCGCACAGCATGCCCATGTTTGCGTACATGTGGATTTGTACTTTTGGTATTTAACAATCATTTTTCCAATTCTATGCCCAATGGCCAATTCCAATTTGGTATTTGTTTTTCCTATTTCTCCTTAATTTCTATTCCTCTTTTTCCTATTCCTTTGATATTTCCCATTCCTCCTTAATTCTATGCCAATTCCAATTGGTATTTCTTTTTGAATTGAGCAAATTTGCTTTTATTATAATGAATCACAATGAAGCTACGGAGTTTTCTCTCTTTTATTTCCATTACATTGAAGTTTCCACTGTAATGTAATCAATGCCGGCATTGTTTCGCAAAAACCAGATGCCAGTTTTAAGTCTGAATACACTTCAACCCAAAAGTTTCATTATCAAGGCTTTCTGTTTCTGTTATGACTAGACCTAGAAGTCAGAAACTATTTCATAATCACTTACTTATCGGTCTAACAAAGTTTTTTTCCATATTCTGAAATGACATCAGACAAATTATATATTATTTCACCACAGCAAAAAAAAAAAAAAAAAATGTAAGTTCCTCTTTCAAAATACATTTAAATTTCTTTGTAATGTACTTCCAGAATACCTAACAATTTTTGCGGCCTCTGCAACAATAAAAATTAATTAGCGATGTTAATGCAACATGAAGATTACGTGTCTATATGATGACACAGAACATATGACTTCAAACATTACACAAACAAGAAGATAATTTCTCAAATCCGGAATTTTCAGATTTGGAGAAGTAAAAGATCCAGTATTCCAGCTATATCCAGATGACAATCACTTGTAGATAATCTCACAAAAAAATTACTGCAAAAATACTGATTGTTGAAATAAAAAAAAAAAAAAAAAAAAGATATGTATTGTCATAAAAAATGAATAATAAATTCAATTTAAATAAAATTATATTGAGGTTTAATTACATTTATTAAATTTGTTTGGTTTTTCTTGCTTCGTTGTTTGCTAAATAATTTTACATAAACTACTTAGCATAATGCCATGATTCTGATCCTTCACTCAAGTTGCATAATTATAAAACTGGATAGTTGTTTTATACCTAACAACGCAAAAACATTAAACATAAATAAATAAAAAAATATTGACCTTAACTTCCCGAGTACAAAAATAACCTGCAAATTTCTACTGATGTTATGAAGATTACAAGAAAGTTTTATTCATATTTTTATTACTACTGAAAAAACATACTGAAAAGATTCCTTCATTTCTAATTCTATAATTTTCGTGAATAAAACTCATTAAATGACACATGTAGAAAGAAGCCTTGGTAGGGAGTTTACTTTCTGTGTGTTGTGTTTCTTCAACATATTTTTAATCAGCATTAAAAAAAGAAACATTCACATCGGCATATCTATCTATACTATTAAAATCTGTGTGCCTCTGTCTGTTTGTGTGTTTGTAACATCATCTCCTCGGGAACGGCTGGGTGTAGAGCTTAGCGGAAGGTACCGTTGGATTCAGAATGCCCGTGGCTCGCCGGATTGACCATCGGCATCTTCGTGCGACTTTAATTAGCCGAGATATTAATTAAAAACTGATTTTCTCCCTACATTTCCCTACGTTTTGCACTTTCTTTCACGGGTTTCCCCTATTTTAGGGATTTGGCCGAGTGCCAAATTCGTTTTTCTCGAATATCTGCGGAACGGCTCCGAGTTGCGATTCGAAACGCATATCCCCGTATTCGAAAAAAATCAACGAATCCATCGATACCGGTCCCATCTTCGTACGACAATAATCGGCGGAGTTATTAATTAAAAACTGCGAAAACGTTATTTCATTTTTCGGAGTGGCAACCGTCTCGGAATTAGCTGAGATAAAATTGCTTTTTCGAAAGCGCCGGGGGGATGACAATTGCTTCCGCTCGAGATTTGTGCTGGCGAAAGGTCACGTGTCAATTTCTTTTTTCTTAAATATCTATGGAACGGCGCTGAGTTGGAATTCGAGGCAGGTGTCTGCGGATTCCAAAAAATTCTACGAATCCAATGATACCATTCTCATCTTCGTAGGACGTTAATCAGCTGAGATATTAATTAAAAACTGTGAAAACGCTAATTTTCGGGCTCATTTTTCCGATTGCAACAGTTTCTTGAATCGCCGCAGATACAAATCAAGGTTATATTCTAAAGTTGAATAAAGCACGCGATTGCATGTTACCTAACTGTATTTTAAAAATATTTCGTTAATGTAGGCATTTTAAATAAACAGCTGCTTTTCACAATTTTTTTTTAAATTTCAGGTTAGGATGATTGTCACGTTAATTCTTTTATTGATATTGAATAAAAGTTATTATATTACATTAAATTTAAATGATGACGTTCTTGAAGTTGTACAACTTTAATCAGCTGGGATATTAATTAAAAAATCTGAAAAAGCTATTTTTTAAAAATATGTTGTTATTTTTTTAATAATAAATTTGATTTTTTGGAATAATATATTTTTTTATGTTATTAGATACGTGCACTTAATTTAGATATTATCTTTTAATGCAAATGCAAATGATATTTTAAATAAGTTCGCACCAATAAAAATTAAATTCACACTTTTTTTTTTTTTTTTTTTTTTTTAGATTAAAGATTTTTCTTTGCTCCTTTGAGATGGTATACGGTAACTTTCGAATCCCGGTGAGCAGGCAGGCTACACTCATGTTTTTTGTGATTTTACGCATATCTGTTGTGTATGCAGTGTCTTCTGGATGCATAAATGAATAAAGCTGAACTCTGGTAGTTCGGTCCTAATTTCGAATCCCGGCGAACGGGCTGGGTCCATGGGTGTTTGCGTGATTTTACGCATGTGCCTCGTGTACGCAGCATCTTCTGGATGCATAAGTGAATAAAGCGGCCGAAATTCGCTCAAAACCTCTGATTACTGGTAGTTCGGTCCAACTTTCGAATCCAAGCGACCGTGTTGGCTCAATGTGTGTTTTCGGGATTTTTCGCATGTGTAACGTGTATGCGGTATCTTCTGCATGCATACTTGAATAAAGCGGGAGCAGCCCGCGCAAAACTACAGAACACTGGTAGTTCGGTCCAACTTTCGAATTCCGGGGTACTGTACATAAAATTTGGTCGCATACGTGAATACAGCGCGCGGATACCGGGTAAAACCGCTGAACACTGGTAGTTCGGTCAAACATTCGAATCTCTGCGAGCGGGCTGGCTGCATGGGTGTTTTCCTGATTTTCCGCATGTGTATAGTGTATAAAGTGATTTCTGGATGCATATGTGATAAAAGTGGGCGCAGCCTGCTCAAAACCTCTTAACGCTGGTAGTTCGATCCAACTTTCGGTGTCGGCGAACGAGCTGGCTCCCCGGGTGTTTTCTTGCTTTAACTCATGTGTATCGTTTATGCAGTGTGTGCTGCGATGCGCATATATCAAAACGTGTCCATGGCGCATATGTTCCGCTCCTGCTCGCATGCATACGAATAAAGCGGGTGAATGGTAGTTCGGTTCGCTACTAATAAAATTTGGTCGCATGTTACATACCGGGTTGAACTGGTAGTTCGGTCAAACTTCGAATCTCTGCGAGCGCTGGCTGCATGGGTGTTTTCGATTTTCCGCATGTGTATAGTGTATACTGGATGCATATGTGATAAAAGTGGGCGCAGCCTGCTCAAAACCTCTTAACGCTGGTAGTTCGATCCAACTTTCGGTGTCGGCGAACGAGCTGGCTCCCCGGGTGTTTTCTTGCTTTAACTCATGTGTATCGTTTATGCAGTATCCTCTCCATGCTTATGTGTATAAAGCGGGCGCAGCCCGCTCCACAAAATCGCTGAACACTGGTATTTCGGTCCTACTTTCGAATTCCGGGGTACTGTATATAAAATTTGGATGCATACGTGAATACAGCGCGCGGATACCGGGTAAAACCGCTGAACACTGGTAGTTCGCTCAAACTTTCGAATCTCGGCGAGCGGGCTGGCTGCATGGGTGTTTTCGTGATTGTTCGCATGTGTATCGTTTATAAAGTATCTCATGGATGCATACGTGAATAAAGCGGGCACAGAATACTGGTAATGCGGTTCTGGTAATGCGGTAATTTCGAATCCCGACGAACTGGCTGGCTCCATGGGTGTTTTCGTGATTTTACGCATGTGTATAGTGTATGGAGTATCTTCTGGGTGTATATGTGAATAAAGCGGGCAGAGCCCGCGCAAAGCCACATAACACTGGTAATTCGGTCCAACTTTCGAATACCGGCGAACAGGCAGGCTCCATGTTTGTTTTCGTGATTTTACGCATGTGTATCGTTTATGCACCATCTTCAGCATGCATACGTGAATAAAGCGGGCACAGCACGCGCAAAATCGCTGAAAAATTGTATTTCGGTCCAACTTTCGAATCGGCAGCGGGCTGGCTGGAGGGGTGTTTTCGTGATTTTACGCATGTGTACGGTGTACGCAGTATCTTTTGCATGCACACGTGAACACTGTTTTGGGCGGGCTCCCGCCCAAAAGCGCTGAACACTGGTATTTCGGTCCAAATTTCGAATACCCGCGAAAGGGCTGGAAGCATGGGTGTTTTCGTGATTTTCCGCATATGTATAGTGTATGCGGTAACTTCTGGATGCATAGGTGAAAAAAGCGGGGGAAGCCCGCGGAATGCCGCTAAAAAATGGTAGTTCGGTTCAACTTTTCAATACCGGCCAAATTTAACATAGGATATCTTTTAAAAACGAACAATGATAAGCGGGCTTCAGCC